CCATCTCTCTTCTCGCGGAATCCTAGCCGCTAGTAGTGTTAAGACACCACCATCTCTCTCCCCGCGGAATCCTAGCCTCTAGTACAACAGTTGTAAGACACCACCATCTCTCTCCCCGCGGAACCCTAGCCTCTAGTACAACAGTTGTAAGACACCAACATCTCTCTCCCCGCGGAACCCTAGCCTCTAGTACAACAGTTGTAAGACACCAACATCTCTCTCCTCGCGGAACCCCAGCCTCTAGTACAACAGTTGTAAGACACCAACATCTCTCTCCCCGCTGAACCCAAGCCTCTAGTACAACAGTTGTAAGACACCAACATCTCTCTCCCCGCGGAACCCTAGCCTCTAGTACAACAGTTGTAAGACACCAACATCTCTCTCCCCGCGGAACCCCAGCCTCTAGTACAATAGTTGTAAGACACCAACATCTCTCTCCCCGCAGAACCCTAGCCTCTAGTACAACAGTTGTAAGACACCACCATCTCTCTCCCCGCGGAACCCTAGCCGCTAGTACAACAGTTGTAGGACAACATCATCTCTCTAACCCCCCCCCCCCCCCCTTTTTTCTCTAGTTTTATCCCCTCGTCTCTTGCCCGGCTGACCAGTTTATCACTTGCCACCTACCTCTGCATGTTATGGGGTCCTATTTTTAGAAGACTGAGAAACTGATTCACTGCTGCTTGACAAGCATGTCATAAAAGTAAAATATTTCATGGTGTGCTGAAATTGATGGTATTTGACTGAAAGGCACACATATCGCAGGCTTACTTTAAACCACAACACAATGTACCACAGCCCTCTTAGGGCTAAGCCATATGAATAGTTATTAGCTGATTGAAAAATTATCAGTCTGTCTGTCCCTCTGTGTATAGAGGAGGTCAGGTTTGCCACTTACCTGCCCCACGGGTGACCATTGAGTGATGTCGTGTTTGACATATTGACCTAATTGTTTCTGGCAATGATTAGTTGGACTCCGTCCAAGGGTCACCAGATATAACCGCCAGGACGTTTTAATCTGTGCTGCGGCCTCGGGCAGATAGGGCAGGACAGTCACACAACCTGCCAACAATAATGAGACCTGTTATTGCTACCACTGTGAACATTAATGAGATATCCGGCAGTTTCTCTGTTCACATGTGAGCATCAATGTGACTCTCGGCTTTGTCCTTGTTAAAGTGTAAACATTACTTAAACATGTGGAGCGATGCCTTGTCCCAGTGTGTAAACATTACTTAAACATGTGGAGCAATGCCTGGTCCCAGAGTGTAAACATTACTTAAACATGTTGAGCAATGCCTTGTCCCAATGTGTAAACATTAGCTAATTATGTTGGGCGATGCCTGGTCCCAGTGTGTAAATATACCTAATTATGGGGAGCGATGCCTGGTCCCAGTGTGTAAACATTACTTAATTATGGGGAGCGATGCCTGGTCCCAGAGTGTAAACATCACTTAAACATGTTGAGCGATGCCTTGTCCCAGTGTGTAAACATCACTTAATTATGTTGAGCGATGCATTGTCCCAGTGTGTAAACATTACTTAATTATGTTGAGCAATGCCTTGTCCCAGTGTGTAAACATTACTTAATTATGTTGAGCGATGCCTTGTCCCAGTGTGTAAACATCACTTAAACATGTTGAGCGATGCCTTGTCCCAGTGTGTAAACATCACTTAATTATGTTGAGCGATGCATTGTCCCAGTGTGTAAACATTACTTAAACATGTGGAGCGATGCCTTGTCCCAGTGGTAAACATTACTTAATTATGTCGAGCGATGCCTTGTCCCAGTGTGTAAACATTACTTAATTATGTTGAGCAATGCCTTGTCCCAGTGTGTAAACATTACTTAATTATGTTGAGCGATGCCTTGTCCCAGTGTGTAAACATCACTTAAACATGTTGAGCGATGCCTTGTCCCAGTGTGTAAACATCACTTAATTATGTTGAGCGATGCCTTGTCCCAGTGTGTAAACATCACTTAAACATGTTGAGCAATGCCTTGTCCCAGTGTGTAAACATTACCTAATTATGGGGAGCGATGCCTTGTCTTAGTGTGTAAACATTACTTAAACATGTGGAGTGATGCCTTGTCCCAGTGTGTAAACATTACTTAATTATGTGGAGCGATGCCTGGTCCCAGTGTGTAAACATTACTTAATTATGGGGAGCGATGCCTTGTCTTAGTGTGTAAACATTACTTAAACATGTCGAGCGATGCCTTGTCCCAGTGTGTAAACATTACTTAATTATGTCGAGCGATGCCTTGTCCCAGTGTGTAAACATTACATAATTATGTTGAGCGATGCCTTGTCCCAGTGTGTAAACATCACTTAAACATGTTGAGCGATGCCTTGTCCCAGTGTGTAAACATCACTTAATTATGTTGAGCGATGCATTGTCCCAGTGTGTAAACATTACTTAATTATGTTGAGCAATGCCTTGTCCCAGTGTGTAAACATTACTTAATTATGTTGAGCGATGCCTTGTCCCAGTGTGTAAACATCACTTAAACATGTTGAGCGATGCCTTGTCCCAGTGTGTAAACATCACTTAATTATGTTGAGCGATGCATTGTCCAAGTGTGTAAACATTACTTAAACATGTGGAGCGATGCCTTGTCCCAGTGGTAAACATTACTTAATTATGTCGAGCGATGCCTTGTCCCAGTGTGTAAACATTACTTAATTATGTTGAGCGATGCCTTGTTACAGCGTGTAAACATTACTTAATTATGTTGAGGAATGCCTAATCCTAGTGTGTAAACATTACTTAAATATGTCGAGCGATGCCTTGTCCCAGTGTGTAAACATCACTTAAACATGTTGAGCGATGCCTTGTCCCAGTGTGTAAACATCACTTAATTATGTTGAGCGATGCATTGTCCCAGTGTGTAAACATTACTTAAACATGTGGAGTGATGCCTTGTCCCAGTGTGTAAACATTACTTAATTATGTCGAGCGATGCCTTGTCCCAGTGTGTAAACATTACTTAATTATGTTGAGCGATGCCTTGTTACAGCGTGTAAACATTACTTAATTATGTTGAGGAATGCCTGATCCTAGTGTGTAAACATTACTTAAATATGTCGAGCAATGCCTTGTCCCAGTGTGTAAACATTACTTAAACATGTTGAGCAATGCTTTGTTCCAGTGTGTAAACATTACTTAATTATGTTGAGCAATGCCTTGTCCCAGTGTGTAAACATTACTTAATTATGTTGAGCAATGCCTTGTCCCAGTGTGTAAACATTTCTTAAACATGTCGAGCGATGCATTGTCCCAGTGTGTAAACATTACTTAATTATGTCTAGCGATGCCTTGTCCCAGTGTGTAAACATTACTTAATTATGTTGAGGAATGCCTGATCCTAGTGTGTAATCATTACTTAAATATGTCGAGCAATGCCTTGTCCCAGTGTGTAAACATTACTTAAACATGTTAAGCGATGCCTGCTCCCAGTGTGTAAACATTACTTAATTATGTTGAGCAATGCCTTGTCCCAGTGTGTAAACATTACCTAATTATGTTGAGCAATGCCTTGTCTTAGTGTGTAAACATTACTTAATTATGCCGAGCAATGCCTTTTCCCAGTGTGTAAACATTACTTAAACATGTTGAGCAATGCCTTTTCCCAGTGTGTAAACATTACTTAAACATGTTGAGCGATGCATGGTCCCAGTGTGTAAACATTACTTAATTATGTTGAGCAATGCCTTGTCCCAGTGTGTAAACATAACTTAACTATGTTAAGCGATGCCTTGTCCCATAGTGTAAACATTACCTAATTATGTTGAGCGATGCCTTTTCCCAGTGTGTAAAAATTACTTAATTATGTTGAGCGATGCCTTGTTCCAAATTGTAAACATTACTCAATTATGTTGAGCGATGCCTGGTCCCAGTGTGTGTGTGTGTGTGTGTGTGTGTGTGTATGTGTGTGTGCAAACATTAACCATGTGTATGTGTGTGTGTGTGCAAACATTAACCATGTGTGTATGTATGTGTGTATGTGTGTGTGTGTGCAAACATTTTCCATGTGTGTATGTATGTGTGTGCAAACATTAACCATGTGTGTGTGTATGTGTGTGCAAACATTAACCATGTGTGTGTGTGTATGTGTGTGCAAACATTAACCATGTGTGTGTATGTGTCTGCAAACATTAACCATGTGTGTGTATGTGTGTGCAAACACTAATCACGTGTGTGTGTATGTGTGTGTGTGTGCAAACATTAACCATGTGTGTGTATGTGTTTGCAAACATTAACCATCTGTGTGTGTGTATGTGTGTGCAAACATTAACCATGTGTGTGAATGTGTGTGCAAACATTAACCATGTGTGTGTGTATGTGTGTGCAAACATTAACCATGTGTGTGTGTATGTGTGTGCGAGCATTAACCATGTGTGTGTATGTGTGTGCAAACACTAACCATGTGTGTGTATGTGTGTGTGTGCAAACATTAACCATGTGTGTGTATGTATTTGTGTGCAAACATTAACCATGTGTGTATGTGTATGTGTGTACAAACATTAATCATGTGTGTGTGTATGTGTGTGCAAACACTAACCATGTGTGTGTGTATGTGTGTGTGTGTGCAAACATTAACCATGTGTGTGTGTGCAAACATTAACCATGTGTGTGTGTGTGTGCAAACATTAACCATGTGTGTGTGTGCAAACAATAACTATGTGTGTGTGTGTGTGTGTGCAAACATTAACCATGTGTGTGTGTGTGCAAACATTAACCATGTGTGTGCGTGTGTGTTCAAACATTAACCATGTGTGTGCGTGTGTGTGTGCAAACATTAACCATGTGTGTGTGTGTGTGTGCAAACATTAACCATGTGTGTGCGTGTGTGTGTGCAAACATTAACCATGTGTGTGCGTGTGTGTGTGCAAACATTAACCATGTGTGTGCGTGTGTGTGTGCAAACATTAACCATGTGTGTATGTGTGTGTGTGTGTGCAAACATTAACCATGTGTGTGGTGTCTGTTGACAGTCGAGGACCACGGCCGAGCTGAACCTGTCCGTGGACACTAACCAGGCTCAGAGGGAGTTGATCGCCCAGCTTGAAGCCAAGAACAGGTCAGTGACAAGCACTGGACACCTCATGTCTGTGTCTCTCTGTCTTCCTCTGCCTGTATACGGGAATCGTTAACCTGTCTGTGTAAGTTAGTTTTGTATTTGTGAATATAGGTCTTTTATTTATGAATCTATATCTTTTATTTGTGAATATGTCTTTTATTTGTGAATCTGGTTAGTACAAGTCGGCTCTGTGGCTAAGTCGATGCGAACGTTTCGTAATGCCGGGATGCCGGGTTCGATCCCAGCTGCAGGCCATGCGCCTTGCGCTGGTTTCGACAGTGGTATCAAGAAAGCCGACCGTTCAGACGCAATGGCAAACTACTGGACGTAAATTTGTCTAGAAAAACCACACAACAGCCAGGGGCTGTTGGGGTTGGTTCTGCAACGTCCTGTAAAGGATACGCAACTAACCTGGTTAGTACGACGTTGATCTCCCCATTTACACACTCTTACACACTAGCTCACCTCTAATTGGTCGACTGCCTAGCTCACTTCTAATTGGTCGACCTTGAGCCACATGAGCCTTGGCACAAGGTTACGGCGGTGTTCTTCAATGTCGTTGACACTGCGTTTTTTATATTTAAGCATGCCAGCGCTTTTAACACTCTAAAAAGATCAACAAACTGGGTCTAACACCAAACACCTTTAGAGAGTGATGAAACCTATGTCACAGGCATTCTCTTTCTCGGAATAAAAACGTAAATGAAGACAGCCCAGGAAACAATCCCCAGAGTGGCACACCCGTAACCTTCAGGGAAGTAGTCAAGCCCAACAAATTTGTCAACGGAACGTGACCTACTTTGTTTTAGGAGACTAACCTCGAACTAAATGTGAATCTGTGTCGTGTATTTGTGAATATGTGTCTTGTATTTGTGATTCTGTGTCTTGTATTTGTGAATCTGTCTCTTGTTTTTGTGAATCTGTGTCTTGTATTTGTGAATCTGTGTCTTGTATTTGTGAATCTGTGTCTTGTATTTGTGAATCTGTGTCTTGTATTTGTGAATCTGTGTCTTGTATTTGTGAATCTGTGTCTTGTATTTGTGAATCTGTGTCTTGTATTTGTGAATCTGTGTCTTGTATTTGTGAATCTGTGTCTTGTATTTGTGAGTCTGTGTCTTGTATTTGTGAATCTGTGTCTTGTATTCATGAATCTGTGTCTTGTATTTGTGAATCTGTGTTTTGTATTTGTGAATCTGTGTCTTGTATTTGTGAATCCGTGTCTTGTATTTGTGAGTCTGTGTCTTGTATTTGTAAATCTATGTCTTGTATTTGTGAATCTGTGTCTTACTTTTGTGAATCTATGTCTTGTATTTGTGAACCTGTGTCTTGTATTTGTGAATCTGTGTTTTCTCTTGTATTCGTGAATCTGTGTCTTGTATTTGTGAATCTATGTCTTGTATTTGTGAATCTATGTCTTGAATTTGTGAACCTGTGTCTTGTATTTGTGAATCTGTGTCTTCTCTTGTATTCGTGAATCTATACGTGTATTTCGTCTTACAGATTCTTTTGAAACATATGAATTGTCTTTCAGCAGATGCATTCTCTTTCAACAAATACTGTCTACAAATACATATCTTCTCTTACAAATTCTCTACAGACATAATTTCTCTTTCCAATGATATAATTGCTGTACACATAATGCCTCTTTATTAACACGTTCTCTTTACACAGATTAATTTCGTGCACAATTTTGTTTTGTTTTCTCGTTACACACGTGCATTATTCTTACAGGATCCTCCTCAAAGCGATAGGGGGCGTGGAGCATATAGTGCTAGACTATGCTTTCTTAGACCGATCGACGCTCGATGGCCGATTCTGTCAACGTCACAATGGCTACCTTTATTTCCCAGGGTATTTCTGGTACCCATTGTAGGCCTGGCCAGCCTGGGAGCTGAGGTCAGTAATTAAGAAAATCCAACCCGGCACGTATTGAATGCCCTGTCCCTGGGGTGGGCAGGTGAGCTTGGAGCCTTGTGTTAAAGCTATGACATGTTTATACACACTGTTCATTTATAAATCACAGATGTAAGTAATATCTTCTATTTACACATTTTCCCCGCACATATTTATGTACGAACATATCGTTTATTTACATATGGGGTCTGTTTACACATATTATTTTATACTTTTTGCACGTTTTGTACACATACAATTTCTTTACTGGGACGTAAGGGGGCTACGTGGTCTCAAGGCATGGTGTCCGCCTCGACGGCTAGAGGTTCTAGGTTCAATCCTCGGTAAGGGCTGGGATATTTTGTATGTGGACTCGGACCTCTAGTAATGTCCCCTGGTCTCTGAGTAAATCAAATAACAGAAAGTGTATTGATCGACACTCATAGAAAGAAGTAGAAAGATAGAAGAACACATTAGACAAACATAAAAATCGAAAGCTATAGTTACCGTGCCGGGAATTGAACCTGTCACCTCCAGACGGCGTCTGCGCCTCGCCATGGTTACATGTGCACTAAGAACATGGTCAACTAGGCACCCCCCAAAAAGGTGTCTTTTTGGCCATGTCTATCGTACAGCTTGAAATCCACAGCTATGGAATACGGACAGAATTCATTTCAAACCATTGAAATGGCACCATAGGTTACAGAAATTTATATTAACGGAGCATATGTCGAATAACAATCACAGCAACAATTTACGAACACAGTAGACCTTAATGCTTTGTCTAGAATACACAACCATTTAAGAAAGATATTTGATCGGTAGGTTCCGGTGTGTATACGTCATTCATTTGAATAAACAAAGGGGGAACACATTCTGTTACTTGAATAATTCTTAATATTTAACGGCCTCAAAGGTCTCCCCTCTGTGTATTTATAGGAATGGTCTCTAAGTAGTGAGCTCAGACGTCCACGTGCATTGCTGCGCACGTAAAACATTCCTTGGAAATTGGAAATCGAACAAAAAATTAGCCTAACCGTGCTGCCCAGCAAAAAAATTGGAGTTAAAAATCTACCTAAAGTATTTCAGGATCCCCACCGGAGCTCGCAGAGCTTGTGGACTGTGCTGAGCTTCTTCGGACTTGGACTTGAGTTAGAAGAAGAACGGAGCACTTATGGGTTACCCGTGTGCCAGAATGTTGATCGGTTGTTCAAACCTCAAACTTGGACATTATTTGTTAAAATATTTGCACCGTCTTACACTCAGTGTTCTCTATTGCCTTGATTTACAGTCGTATTTGTTTGATAGCTATTGCTTGATTCTGTATGGTGGCGTTGCTAGATTTATCCTGCTGTCCATGACAGCTATTGCTTGATTCTGTATGGTGGCGTTGATAGATTTATCCTGCTGTCCATGACAACTATTGCTTGATTCTGTATGGTGGCGTTGCTAGATTTATCCTGCTGTCTCATCTTGTTTATGACCTCAGTTTTTTTCTTGTTATATTCTGATGCATTGTTTTGTTTAATTGCTTTGTCTCAGTGTGTCCACTAAACGGTCTGGTTGTCCTGTGTGACAAGTCTTGCCGTTCTGTAACCCTGCAACTGTGTCTTTTTTTCCGCCGAGAGTATGGCCGTGTTTTATTTCATCGTGCAGTTCTAATTTGTTTCATTTAAAGGCTTGCTATTTATTCATATCGCGGTATTGTCTTTAAAAAAAAATTATTTTCCATGTTGTGGTAGGTAGTTAAACCGTACTTGATTGGAGGTGTCTGTCTGTCTCTCGCTCTGTGTGTGTGTGTGTGTGTGTGTGTGTGTGTGTGCGCGCGCGCGCGCATGTAGATGGAGACTGCGTTTTTCCAGAAAGAAAAATTAGAAACCTGTAAAAGTAGAAAATAATGGACAGAAAGAGGAGAACTAAATGAGAAGGAGGGAGGGAGGGGCTCCAGGAGACGAGTAATTCAAGACAATTACTTGAGCCGATAAGTGCATGAACATGATTGGCTGCTGAACTCCACAGAACATTTGATTCCATGATTGTTTTCACCTGGGTCACAGGCTTTAAATCTGACATCACATACGTAATGGTAAGAGAGGGGTGAGAGGGAGAGAGAGAAAGAGAGAGAGAGAGAGAGAAAGAGAGAGAGAGAGAGAGAGAGAGAGAGAGAGAGGGGCGAAGAGGCTAAGAAGATTAACTGACATCGGAAACACAAGATGGCTTGGAGGCAGACACCTTGCTATGATGGCATTTCAAGACCTACAACATGACAGGCACTTGTGAACATTATTGCAAAACCTCCCCAGGCTATTTAAACGCGAGCGCGCGCACACACACACTCACACACACTCACATACACTCTGAACGGAAATTCATACACTACACGAGTTATATACACAAGACAAACAGAGGATTTATCTCTCTTCATCTCTCTCTCTCTCTCTCTCTCTCTCTCTCTCTCTCTCTTTCTCTCTCTCTCTCTCTCACACACACACACGCACACACACAGCAACACACCAAACAAATCTTCTCACAAAATTCATAACTTGACACAAAACCACACGTTATTTTATACACGCCAGACCGAATATAAAAACAATATAGACATATATTATGCAGCTAAACAAGGAGCCTGAAACTCACGGAAATTGACCTGACAAACAACACAGAAATTTACACATTAAAAACATACTTTCACACACATCAGATGGCATCTCACACATCAGATGGCATCTCACACATCAGATAACATCTCACACATAAGATGGCATCTCACACATCAGATGGCATCTCACACATAAGATGGCATCCCACACATCAGATGGCATCTCACACATCAGATGGCATCTCACACAAATGCAATGGAACTGGATACATACCAAAACATGCTCATCAAACTTTACCAAACTTTACACAAATCAAATCATGTTCAACAAACTATAACTGACTGACTGACTTTCTACCCCACTAGGACATCACACTAGCGATAAACACCCGATGACACAAAGTGCCACCATGTGGATGAGGATCACCGTGGAGAGGTCCCAGAAACCGCGTTCAGACAATTGGCCATATTGATGGCCTGCCTATATTGCGGCCTCTGGCAAACG